TCGTGGCGCCATGATTCTACGAACGAAACAACTCTCGCATAGAAAGAAAACCGCGTAGAGCGCTTCCAGGTTGCAAGACATCATGCTAAGCCACAGAGTGGCACCTCAGGAATAGTTAGTGGAAGTCAAACATGCACCTACCCAGCACCAAACTGAATTGATTTGCATTCACCGCATTGCCCCCCCCCCCATCAATCTCGCTTCTTAATGACTTCACCAGAAATAACAGAGTAGCTCCTCGTAATGCATGCACGCACATGCCATTATGTACCAACTTTGGACTCGATATCGTGCGAGCACGCATGTTACTTCCTTAACTCGCCGAAAGGAACCAAATTAGCTGCGGGTGGGGAGAGAGACAATGAAAGTAGAGGCCTAGCGCGAGGAGACATTAGTAGCAGTTTCTGCGCGTTTCACGTACACAAGTCGTGCGGCTCGATCGTTCCGAAAACCACACATACATCGCTAATCAAGCTACCCGCTTCATACGTGCTGCTTGAAGGTTACCTTCTACATTACATACACACACATCCACATTGAATTTACGCTCGCAGTGGGAGCAACATATTATATACATATATACAAATAATAACCTTCTTAATACGCTCTTGATATATATATTATACATGATACACAATATACATATAAATACACCTCCACGCACGCATGGCGTACGAACGCAATGGATACATACACCACGCGCACACACACGCGCGCGCGCACACGCCACACACGCCACGCACGCACGCACGCCACGCACGCACGCACGCACACACACACACACACTCACACACACACTCACACACACACGTACACGTATGTAGTATATGTACGTACGTATGCACGCATGTACGCACGTACGTATGTACGTGTGTGCCTATGTGTGTGGGCGTGCGTGCGCATGTATATGTGTGCGTGCGTGCGTGCGACGTACGTAAGTATGTTTATATATATATATACATATATAATGTATATATTATACATAAGAGCATACTTCCTGTCGTGCACGTACATCTCTTTTACATCTGACAGGTTCCCCGAGTTCCACACACTACTGCTTGGTAAAAGTGAAATGTTCCACTTAAGGCTGAAAACCATTTACTCTTGATAAATCAATAGGAGGCAATCAGAAAGGCATGGCTGTGCACAGAGTGATGGCACAGCACGCGCACACACGTACAGCAGAGTGCGCCTGTGTGCGGGTCTGCATAGATCCGTTAAAGCTGCTGTATCAGCAAATCAGAGTCAGAGCAACGGGCCTTGTGGCCACATTGCGGTGATTGCTGTGCGGTTTAAGTCACCGCGTGAAAAAAATCAAGCGCGCGCGCAAAAAACTTTGTTTCATTGAAATTCCATTGTTTCCAGGGTTGCCAGATAGTCGACAGACTTCACGGCCAAACACACGCCATCTCACGGCCAAATTCGGTCAAACTTTTTTCCAATATCGGCCAAAATTCGGCCAAATTCTAATCGGATCGGCAGATAATAGTGGCGAGATGGCGGTGTATACAAAATAACGAGATGCTACACCATCGTAGACTGGTACTCGCTCCCACCTCTCGGCTTAGTTACTCGATTGGATCGAGATACCCATCGAGTAATCGAGGTGGGAGCGAGTACCAGTCTAACACCATCGTTGCAGATCGTTGCAAAAATGTAATCTTTTCACAAATTCGGCCAAAATTCGGCCAAATATAGTTTGGCCGTGACTTTTTATATGTTACGGCCAGGCGAATTTTTATACGGCCAAAATTCGGCCAAATATAGTTTGGCCGTGACTTTTTATATGTTACGGCCAGGCGAATTTTTATACGGCCAAAATTCAGCCAAATATAGTTTGGCCGTAACTTTTTATTTTTTACGGCCAGGCGAATGTTTATACGGCCAAATTTGAGGAATTTGGCCGTTTTTGGCAACCCTGATTGTTTCAATAGCAGCCTGACAGCCCGTGCCTGCAGCAGTGCAGCACACCCTCAGCCTCTGCAGCAGACACACTAGAAGGGTGAATACTACATAAGGCCGCCGGCACACGTTGATACGTGACTACAGGGAGAGAAAGGAAAGCCTGTCGACCGCTCTGTTAGAATTAATTATCAAATTGACAAAATAATAATTGTAATGAATCCACAGCAGCACTTTATCCACGAAAGGAGAGCTGTCATTCTGTCGCTGTTCGTAGCTCATGTTGTCTGCGTGTATGAAGGCAAGAACAGGCACCCAGAGAGATTACCGTTCTATAGTCCTACGGGTCATTGGTCCTACGGGTCATTGGTCCTACGGTGCACGCAGGCACACACGCGTTTTTGTCTTAAATTTTTTGTTAAATTTAAATTTTTAAATTTTGGTTACAAATTTTATATAATAAAATAATATAAAGAATATAATCAATCTAATAATCAAATAATATAACAGTCATATAATCCGCCTTAGTTACCACTCATATTTTATGTGATCGCTGATATATCTTTTCCACTACATTGTATATCTGCGTGAGTGATAATGACAGATTGTGGTGGTTCAGGTTCAGGTGTGAATCTGTCGTTATGCAGCCCTGGTAGCATCTATGGATTGTAATTAGACTAGACGTATCGTTACCGTCAAAACAACCGTTAAAAAAAATCAGACACGTTCAAATTTCGTCTCCCCAGCGCAGCGATGCGAGAGCATATAAGTTATCATGAGAAGATGTCCGCGGTAAAGATACCATCAGATTTGCGGTCACCGCATTTCTCATCGTGCGTATACTACCCGACGTACTATCATCGTGATGTGTGGCACGTAAACACAAACGCACCGCCACGGCTACAGTCGCGACTCGTCATCAAAGCCCCCGGCCGGCACCTCGTATCTCCAGGATTCGTCTGCGAGCTTGGGCAAACACCTGATAGCGGGAGATGCGCAGCAACGTGGTGCACCGGTGTGTGTGTGTTTGTGTGTTTGTGTGTGTGTGCGTGCGTGCGTGCGTGCGTGCGTGTGTGTGTGTGTGT